ATTTTAGAGCAATTTGATGAATTTGTGTAATGTGTTTGCATACTTTGTGGGCAATGATGCATTAACAGTAAGTGTGATGTGCGTCTATTGGTGATGTAGTGTGTAGATGTCTAGGGGATATTGGTGGTATGTATCGGGGATGTGGAGTGTGACATTTGGATTATGAGTGGAGAGGTGATTAAATGTTAAAATCATTTATTTGTGAAGACCTTGTTTGGTGGAGATCCATTACCTACTTAGTTTGGGAGAAATGATGTGGTGATAGAGGATTATTTAGAGGACTTAGGATCTATTGTGATTTACCAGTTAGACATGAGTTATGCGATCAATCTAGTAAGCATAGTGGACAATAAGAGGAGATATGTGTTCTCGAGGTATGAGTAACACGGAATGGAATAGAATAGTTGGGGTGAAATCTTTTTTAGGATCATTTATGCATTTGTTGAATATGTATTGGCCGCTTGTTGATTAACTTAGTGTTAATTTGATGTTTTATGTGAACATAAAAGATCAGTGTATTATCCTATGTTATATTGTCAGCATACATTTATTTGCTCTTGATTATTTACTATTATTATCAGCTTCTATTTGGCTGTTTTTGACCTTAGTCCTGGTGAATACATGGAGTAAGCATGGTATGTGTTTTGGGTTCGAAACATGAGGTGAGGTTTATTGATTGCCTTGGTTATGCAACTATTAACTTTGTATTTTGATTATTTACAAGTTGCTTGGGTATCAAAGTAGAGATTTGTTGGGTTTTGATGCCTAATGAATCCCGAGCTATAATGTAAATGTCCAATTAAATTTCATAGGCATTGGCCGATAAGTGAAATTATTACCAATATTCAAGTTCAAAGGCTCGATCAAAAAACAACGTGGACCATTGGAAGTAGTTTAAGAAATTAATGTTGCTCGCGGTCCATATTTATTTACCTATTGGATGATTTTGAATCTTGGCACATTTAACTTTATTATTAGTCCAACTAAAGCGTAATCAATCCTATATATATGTTGTCTTTGTCCTAGCCATTGTGTGTGTAATTTGTGCATTAGAAAGAAGAAAACGTGGTTACCTTCTTCAAATTGCCTACCTTTTGTGCAGAAAAATCCGATGGCTTCTCTTGGTGTTTTTAGTCTCCTTTTGTCCCTCTTTCATTGCTTTCTTCTTGTGCCTTGTGGCTTGTTTTGTCCTTTTGTGGGTAAGATCGAAAAGTAACTAAGATGAATATATTGATTTTGCATTGGAGCTGTTTGTGTTGGTTGTTTGGTAGAGAGATGACGTAAAACTAAGTCAAAAATCATCGTTTCGAAGATCTTGGAGCGAGCTTCTTAATGTGTCATCTACTCTATCGAAGGAAAGGTGAAGGAAAAATGCACAACATATGATAATGCTACTTGTAGCTCATAATGTATTGTATCATTGATGTGAACTATCAAGATAAGTGATTGTTCACTGGGTAACGATTATGGCCATTTGGAATTTGTCACGAAGAGGAAACACAAATCCTGCACTTAAAAATAAATGTGATTGTAGCAGCTTTTTGTTATTTTAGATTTTAGTACCCCAATATCAAGATTATTGTAAGGTAGACAATTTTCTTGATTACTATATCTTTCTCGGAATCGAGACTTTTTACTGATGAGCTTTCTCGCGAGCTATTTCTTCTTGGAAACATCTTGAAATTGAGAGGACAAAAAAACCTATAAAAATATTTGTTCCCTTATTGTTAGCATTCTAGAAGCACTGTCTGCCTCCTTGTGTGGAAGTACTTTTAATGATCTCTACCTCTTTCCCACCAACTCGTTCTTTACTATGAATCTAGGCGAACTTGTAATGTTAATTCAATGTAAAGCAAGCTCCTTAGGTTAAAAGTAAGAGTGTGCTTACTAATAGCAAAAGGTTATGTCTCTTGGCCTTTATGAGTCATAACGAACATCACATAACGTCATGTTGGTAAAATGACAGGTTAATAATGAAAGATAATGTACTAAGAAAGCATAGTTATATTATAACTTTATATAGAAAAAGCTAGCTACAAGAAAGACTAGAAAAAAAGGTTACCCACTGTTGCTATTAATATTTTATTTTTACTATGACATAATATCAATTATTATGAGACTTGAGTAAATCAATGTATTTTTTTTTCAAATTGTTTTGAACTGTAATAATTATCTACGAGTAAAAATAAATAGTGCAGCAAGACCAATGGTCGAGTTGATAGAGTATCAAGTTCAACCAACTTGAAGAAATGGCCAATTACTTAGTTCATCTAGCGCAATTAGAAGTTGAGTTGAACATGTAAATACAGGGAAAAATACGAAAAGCAAACTATGGGCAATTTTTTACAAGGGTAATTAATTGATCTTTTGGCCTTTCAAAGAAAAAAAAAATGATAAAAATTAAAAAGACAGATTATTTTTCACTTTGGTTACTAAAAAGGACATTTCAAAAACTTCCTCCAATAATTGGTGAAAAAAAATAAAAAATCTTATATTTATCTTATGATTCATGAATTATATTTTCCACATATAAACGACAAGCTATAAGTACAGACAATTTTGATAAGAAATATTACAGGCAACACTTGACATGCATTCATGGAAGACGGAAAAAATAATAAAGAAACAGGCGAATCAAATTTTGTCAAGTCATCTTCAGTGACAAATCTGTCAAAAATTTTCTATACTTGTAGGCATTTTCCTATAAACTATTTATAATTCTCACATAACCCTAGGTGCATTTTTGAGAGTTTTTCAATGGTTTTGACTGTTTTGGGTGGTAGCGGTTATGAGAGGTTAAAAATATCATTTTATTCACTTTGTGACCAGATTCGATTATTGAAATATTACTCACCCTAATGTTAAGCAAAATACATATAAAATAAGGAAATGCTTAGCTTATATGTATGTATCATTTATTCAGAGAGACTTGTTTTGAATTTGACCAGTTAATATATTTAAAAATAATATTTTTTGTTTGTTAATTTCTGGAGTACTGATACTAGGTGATTCTAGTGAAAATTAATGTTGTGTAATTTGGGTCGTATTTCTCACCAAATCGATGATTTTTGACAGCTTTTTATATATTTTTTTTCCATTTTACTCATTAAAACAAATAACAAGACAAAATTAATTATACGTAAAAAAATTATATCTATAAATATAAATACAATAACTAAAAATTTCTTTATAACAAAAAAATTAGTAATAAGTAAAACAATTGATTATAAATTAATAATAATAATAATAAGACAAAAGTTCGCAAGTACAAAATCACCTTGAAACTGTAAAATGTATTTATAAGTAAAACTGATTTATAAATTAAAATTTTAATTATAAGTCAATATTTTATTTTTTAAAGTAAAAAATTAACTTATATGTGAAAATTACTTATAAGTAAATATCGCTTATGAGTAAAAATTTAAAATTTCATTAGGTGATGGACACATTTAATCCATATTACTTTTATATACGAGCATATATGTCATATTAATTTTTATATAAAACTTTTAGAACCACTAAATAATAAACTTTCAAGCACGAGTTGGATTGTTTTAAAAATCGTTATTAAAAACAACTCAAAATTGAACCCTCATAGATGTCCTAATCCGATACTTTAAAAATCCACATAATTTGCGCATCTAAAATCTCAATCAGGCCCTTAGTCTTTATGATATTAAAGATATGGAATTATTATCGCGAGTGATATTGTGATATTCTTAAGATTCTTTCTTTATTAGTTTGATCGTATTGTTAGAATAGTTTCTTTGCTTTAATAGTCATTTATGACCCCATAAGTAGGTACATTTGCTTTGTAATAAAAGAGGTAAAACAATTTTTATATATATTCTGCGAAATTTCGTCTCAACCTAGCTTCACCATGTTTAGGTTACAAGGAAGATTTTATAATAGCCCCAAAATAACATAAACATATGAATACGATTCAAAAAATTATTTAGGAACCACTTGGAGACAATTTTTGATAAAGGTAAATTAGCCCTTTAGCCTATAAGGAAGACTTGAAAATAAAAATACAAAAGAAAACAAGTTTTCATCTTATAAATAGAGGTTTGTGAGGGTGTTGTATATTTTCAATTTCAATTTCAACTTGTTTGGCCTATGTCTTGAGCAAGACATGCGCAGAGCCCCCCAGGACACTTCTCCACTGGCAAAGGACGGACGCTGTCAAACCTGGCAGAGCAGAGGTCGTGAGTTCGAAACATGGGGCTCTTGGAAGGCAAGGGAACATTTGGAAGGCAATGATTTATTCTTGGAAGGCAAGTGGGAACTTGGAAGGCAAGGATTATTCTTGGAAGGCAAGGTGCAACTTGGATTGGCTTGCTTGTCTTAAAAAAAAAAAAAAAAAAAAAAAAAAAAAAGACATGCGCAGATAACATAAAATGTCACAGAATTCTCCAAATCATGCGCATTTTTTTGGATATATAATCTATCAACGACTTTTGCAATCAAATTCGTTTAAAGTTAATTACATAAACTCATTTAGTTGTGTCAATCTGTTGACCGCCATCGAAGACATGAACATAAAATTTATGAAACGTTAATTAAAATTCCATAATTAATTTTGAGCACCCAATAAAATCTCTAATGATTCAAATAATATTTCCCTTGAATTCATTGTTTTTAACTCCAGGTAAAATAATTTACTCTCCTCGTATTCAAAGTCAAAAAGTATACCAATGTAAATCCACCGAATTACCCTATGAATTTGGTAGGTGCCCACAACCCAAAAATTCACACTGCTCGACAGATGGTTTTGTACCCTACTTTCCCTGATCCCCCTTAGAAAGGAATCCCTAGGAAGAAAAAGGAGAAGATATAAAGAGACACAAAAGCAAAATACAGTCACCACATCATTGACAAAAGAAGCTTTTCCCACCTTTATTGTTCAATACCAGATTTTAGTGTTTCACGCACTTGACTTCTTTCACATCCTTCCATTTTTGTTTCAAATATAGAGGGAGGGAGGGAGGGAGGGAGAGAGAAACAGAAATCTATAGAGAGATAGAGAGAGAGAGAGCCTTCTTCTCCTTGAACATGAGTCAAGTGTTTGGGATTTTTGCGTGTTTGTTGATTGTGGCTATAGATGTTGCAGCTGGAATTCTTGGAATCAAAGCTGATATGGCTCAAAGCAAGGTAGGTTGCAGAATCCAGAAGTTATATTCTGTGAAGCACGGCCACTTATGCTAGAACTGTGTGTTCTGTCCTGCTTTGCACTAACACATACTTTAGGGAAATCTGCAGCAAGAGTCTATCAACATGCCTTCTAGCTACTATGTCCTATAGTAAAATTTTAAGGAATTCAATTTATGTGGCCACACTAAATTTTTTATTTTTATTTTTAATGCTGGACTGATAAAGTAAAAAAAAAAAAAAAAAAAAAAAAAAAAAAAAGTTTCCAGAAAAAAAAAATTCAGTGTAAAAAGGAAAAAGAAAAAAAAGGGAATTGGATCTGACTGGCCTGGCTCCTCAGCCTGTAGGTGTGTCCACTCTCGTCCTTCTTAGGTTATATACATACAAGACGAAGCAGTTTTATTTGTGTAAATACGTTTTGGTAGGTAGTTAATTTTTTAATTTCTTTGAATAGGAAAAACATTTGAGGCTATGGATATTCGAGTGCAAAGAGCCAAGCCATGAAGCTTATCTTCTTGGTTTAGCAGCATCGGGCCTTCTCTGTATAGCCCATGTCATGGCAAACCTGGTTGGAGGTTGCAAAATTTGCACAAATGAGGACGTTCAAAAAACATCCCCCAGTAGGCAGTTATCAGTGGCTTGCCTCGTCTTGACATGGTATGTTGATTACATATGATATATTTGTTTATTGTTTCGTAGACATGCTGCACGCATCATTCAAAATGCAAATATGAATATACGTGACATTCCAATAATTAAATAAATATATCTGATTAAATTTTGTCTTGTTTAACTTGTAGGGTGAACATTTTTTTTCCTTGTGTAAACATACATTAGTAACTAATGTATCAAGATGTGACAGGTGAAATATTGGAGTTCTTATAAGTTATAATTGAAGTTTTTACACTAAAGAGGCATCATTGTTCCCACTACTATTATTTAATTAGTAAAATCTTTCCTCTTTTTCCCGTAATATATATATATATATATATATATATATATATATATCCCCCGTTTGTTTTCCATTCTTTTTTTATTAAAATGAAAAATATGACTATTATTTATCACATCAAGTTACCAAATTTGAATTTCTATTTCTTGTGTGGAACCCATAATGACTATATTTTTCATTCTCATGAAAATGAAAATGGAAAACAATCGGGGCCATATATTCGGAATATGAAATGTAAATGAAATTTATATTAACTCTTTTTAGTGTAGTTTGAAAGTAGATTTTTTTGGTAATTTTTGATAAATATTGATGAAATGTGTGAACCAAAACTTGTGGATTCCATGAATTTGTCATTACAATTAATTATTGACTTTGATTTTAAATTTTTATCAATTTTTAATTTACACCAAACTGGGACTTATTGGAAAATATAGGGATTTCTCGGAAAGTTTGAAGTTTGTTCTAACATATTCTCTTTCGCCTTTTAGGTGATTATATTTACATCACAATTTTTGAAAAAAAATGCATTAGATTTTAAATGCGCTAAAAATCATTAACCTTTATTTAGTGTTACATTTATGTCATTAGCTTTTTTCCATCACGTTTTCATTCCTACCCTTCCATCAATTAATACACGTTAGCCTTGATGACGGCTTTCGTCTAAAAATTTTGTTGACATATTTTAGAATAAGAATAAATATTTAGTGGAAATTTTGTATTTGTTACTTTTTTTATTTATTTAAAAAAGCATAAGGACAAATAAGTACATTTATTCCTTCTTGAAGGAATTTTGGCAGAAACCATAATTAGGGACAATGGAATGAAAAAGTTATAAACATAAGTGTGACAACGAGTAAATATCATGGATCTCACATGTAATTAAAATGTAGTATCAATACCTTACTGTTTTAAGCCTTCTTAAGAAAAAAATAAATGTGAAATTCCTAAAATGCCCCGTATTAATGTAGACCCATTTTGAATCTTCATTTTTCTGTACTTTTCTTTGTAAGTGCATTTTAATATTGTAAGTTCCTTCTTTTATTACTAACACTATATTCTTAAATCTTTGTCGACTAATTAATTGCTTTTCACATAAAATATAGTAACAAAGATTGACCGTGTACGAGAATACTTATATAAATGAAGAAAGAGGTAAATAAATTAAATTTTATCAGTTAAAATTTCATAAATTATTTGTTTTCAAAACGTGGATAAATCTTTAATTATTGTTATGAAGAATTTTTATTTTTATTTTTTTTTCAAACAAGTTTCAAAGATATTTGGAACTCCGATTCTCATGAAATAGATATTCAAAAAAGTTTAAATTATTACGAAGAAAATTTTATCAAATTTAAAATGCCCTCGCGATTAATTATCCCTAAAAATTTAAGAAAAAATTCTTTCATATAACTGGTGTGCATCGAACAAATATTATTTAGAATTTTGTTATGAATTTTTGCAGGATAATAATGACGGTGGGTTTGTCGATGCTAGTAATTGGAACACTATCGAACAGTAAATCAAGATCTTCCTGTGGTTTAACGCACCACCATTTTCTGTCTATTGGAGGGGTTTTGTGTATGGTTCACAGCCTATTTTCTGTTGGATACTATGTTACAGTCACTGCAGCACTTAGTGACTAGGCAATGTGTATTGTCACTTTTTTTTTTTTTTTTTATTTAAACTTCAGTTAATTAGCATCTGATCGTTTGTTGATTGGAATATATTTCTGTAGTAACTTTTAGCTATGGATATTGTGGCATCATCGTAGAAATTAAATTATGTGTTGCAAAAAATATAATCTTTATTAATTAGTTGCGCATTAGTATAAGATTTTTGAGATAAAAATGCAATTTGTTACTTTTTTGTTGATTTAGATTTCATGATTATTTGCTTAAGAAAATTGAGGCATGCATTTTCGTACATTTTGAAAAATGTAAAATCATTAATGACCCAAGTTGCATAGCTAAGAAACCAAACTGAGCTGAGCCCCAAAGGATAAATTCCTGGCTTCGCCATTACTTGTTGGTTATGGTATTTACTATGATTGGGTATAGGGTTTAGACGGATTTTTCAAGATTTGGAACCAGTCATAAAGTATATGTTGTAAATGGAATCGTTTGGTTCCGTGTAATTGTATAGTCAAATAGGAATAGAACTATTTGGTCTCGGTTCGAGTTCGATTCTAAGATAACATATTGACATAAATTGAAAGATACAATGGGAATCTTTTCACACAATTTTCACCTTGGGAGACAAATGAGCATCTTTAATAAGCTTTGTTAAATCCATATGGACATCATAACGCCAAAAGATATTTTCATGTAATGATGAATCAGTTTTCAGGTACCATGTTTAATAAAAATAAATTGACTCTTAAATATTAAGGGAAATTGGGCCAAATGGCACCTTCTCACAGAGGACTTGGCCAGAAGGCATTGGGTTCGGAGCTGTACACCAAGAATAATTGAAGTATTAGTTCAATTTTTAACTATCAATAATGCTATCTAGCGTAACTAATACTACAAAATCAACAATCATAATGATTGAATTATCGTTTCAACCCTACGATAACGATTCTCCTACCATTATAGCTCGAAATGCTTACAAAAGCATTCACAACCAATTAAGATGCCTATTAATGTTATTTACATCCGCTAATATTATTTCCGAGCGTAAAAAGTTAAAAACGAGTGTGAAGTGATCACAACGACAATATTCACGTGCTCCATCATCAGGATAACAATTCTCCCGCTATTATGGCTTGAAACGCTTGCAAAGGCATACACGACGATTGGAAAAGTTCCTATAAATGTTATTTATACCAACTAATGTTGTTACGGAAAAGATGAAAACGAGTGAGAATGGTCATAATTAGTGCACTGCCGTTTCAGCGCCACAGTAAAAAATTCTCCTACCATTATGCCTTGAAAAGTTTGTAAAGCTCTACACGACCACTGAAAAAATTCTACAAATATTATTTAAGTTGAACCAAGGAAGGGAATAAAAGAAGGATCTTTTAAATTGATTCTCGGACTTACAGGGATGTGTAAGTTTTTTGGTTGCTGTTTGTGAGGGATCAGCCCACTTAAAAGCTGGAGGCCCAACAAGAAGTCAGACCCACCCAATCTTCTAATATAACAAAGGCGTGTGTCTAACAAATTACAAGTAACGTTTCTTCTAGGACGATGACACTTGGCAAAAATAAAATCGTTGGATGGAGAAGTGATCATTTTCACACATATTAGGGTTAGAAACTTGTAGGGTTTTACTTTCACTTTCTCGAACAACTTCTAGAATTCTCTATTCTCTCTCTGTAATTTCTTTCTTCGTGAATCTCTGAAATCTCGTGTAATTTTTGGGAGTTGATGAACTCTTGTGTGAGTCCATCCTGTTTGTAACAAGGCCATGTATTGGCCGTGAACTGAACTCTGCGTTCTGTGTATTGTTGAAACTGTTCTTGGCCGGTTTTTTAGTGGATTCGAGCTTATTCCTTTGTGGATGCTCAACGGGGATTAGACAACTGAGAAGTTGTTGAACCTCGAGGCTTAGGCCGAAAAATCGCTGTGTTCTTATTTTTTGTGTTTTTCAGATCTACACTTGATCTTGTATATTTTTGCGATTTCTTGCGTCTTTGACTTCGATTCTGAACCTATAGTATGGAGATCGACCTGATCCCAGCCCGAAACCAACTTACATACTATGTTAAGTATGTTATAATCCTAAAAGTACATTCAAGGCATACCTAAGTATAAACTATCTACTGAGAGCATTTTTAAGTAATTCTCTATTGACAAAAAACACTTCATTTATTTTTTCAAGAAACATTTTTATTGATTTTCCTTCGTCTTTTCTTTTTTATAATTTATTATATGTCAATAATCAATCAAATCAAATATGATTTAAATAATCTAAAAAATAGACTTACTAAACCCCTGTCTAATAGCCATTTTTTGGTAAAAACAAAGTTTTGAATAGTAAATTGAAGAATGTCTAATTAAAAGTAGGAAGAAAATTTGAGTATACGTACAAAATATTTTATTTTGTGAATGTGTGATTGAAAATAAGTATATTGAATAAAGAATTTAAAATAATAGTTGTCAAACAAGAGCTAAATGCAATCATTATAAAATAAGAATAATGAGTTTTAACTTTTCAAATTTGGAGAATGAACTCGCACTCTATTTTAAAACATTGGAAAATAGAGTGTTTTTTAAGTTATTTTTAAATATTGACTCTCCAATATAGACTGAATTTTGTATTTAGAGAATCTTTTGAAGATGTTCCAAGTGTCTGTTTGACGCCTTTTCTTGTCATTATTAAGAGTTTCAAATTTTTTCAACAATGTAATATTAAAAAAGAATTACAACCATCTAACATACACTAGCTTTTTGTTCAGGACTAAGACCCGTTGGAAACTGGTTTTCCATTCATACCCTCATTTACAACATGACAATTTATAACGTTGCCTTGTAAGACGTGGTTAATTGTACAAATGCATTTGAGGGTAGATTGGGAAAAATATAATATTGCCTTAAAGTATAACTTATCATTCAAGTGATAAGACTAATGTCACTCTTCAAGGATCCACTACATTGTTGAAAACATTGTTTTATATCCAAAATAATGGCCGCCAAACAAACGCTAAGTATATCCTAATAAATTTGGGTTCTCTTATGTTGTGCTTTGTTCACTAAGTTGGATTCACTTAATTTGGGCCAGTCGCGATCTTTAGTATAATTTTCATAAATAAGTAGTGAAAAAATAATTTATTAATTTGTACTGTTGATGACGTTTGCCAAGTATTATAAAATCACGTCATTTAAAAACATATAACTTAAATAACTGTTCAAAAAATGGATTGATTTATTTAAATCTATTCTTCAATACATATGCTTGACTGGAATTTCCCTGTACAAATGGAAGTGGGAAACTCAGATTATAGCATATTTTTTACACGGGCACAGAAATTACACTTCCTCAGCTTCTCAAATACTCATTTCTTCATATTACCACTCGAAAGATCTTTGCAGCATGCACATAGTTGCATCAGTTTGGAATATTGGAAAAGAAGTCGAAGAATTTGTCCAAATAATCAGCTAAAGTGCTACCAACACTCATGTCTGTTTCTTCGTCCCATGGGAATGGCTTAATTGGTTTAGTTGCTTCCAGAAGTTCATCGATTGGAATCTTTGGTTTTGATCGTTGCAGTGGAGCTACATCAGTGACCTCAGGACTGTAATTCTGCAAAAAATGCCATGGAAATAAGAATTTGAAGAAGGAATACGTCAATAGATACCTGATTTATTTCTTGAAAGGATATATGTACTTACCTGATCAGCATGCATTTTCTCGATAAATGTCTTAAATATCCTGAAGTTCTTCCACTCTAGCAGCTTGTCTGATAAACGAAGGTAGGTCACTCCAGCCATTTTCAGTTTTGGGGGACCATTTTTGTTGACACCATTTGGCCTTGCATTCAGAAGGATTTGATTGTAACCTGCACGATCATACCTTGAAAGTGCATTTTCACCAGCTAAGTCAATATTTTCTGTCCATCCACCACTCAAAACCTGCCGAAAATATGGTGCATTTATTGCCAAAGTTTTCATCATATTGCGGTAAAGGAAAATCATATATGACAAGAATCCAATTTTTAATCATGCTACACGTACACGTACAAAAATATTTGACAGTTTTTTTTATAGATTGTCAGCTGTCAAGATTTCATTGGATATTGGACCAAAAAATACAGTTAAACTAGTCAATTTAGTGTTGCCACCTCATTATCTGTACTGTTTTTTGTACATTTCATCTGTTCAAGGAGCTTAATTCTCCAATTTTTTGCTCACATGGCCTATGTTGAATCCACTATGCAGAGACATATTATGCATATCTACGATTAAGGGAGCTATATCATAAATTGCTACTCCTATCAAACATTTTAAAACTGTCAATTCATATTTTTCAATTTTCCAAGAAATTGTGATGGAAAATTGTCTCACAATTGAACCTGTTGTACAAGTTCTTGAGGTCCGCTTTTAGCTTTTGCCGGTTGTTCGGTGTTTCTCATTTCAAGACATGTGAAGTTTAAGGTTCCATAATGTCTGGATAACATCCTTGATATCGGCCGATATCCATCCCTATCAATCAAGTTATAGTATCCTGATGTTAGCTCACAAGCATGACTCTCATCCTTGTACCACCAGTGGATGCCCGAAACCTTCATACAAAAAATGAAAATTTTAGTTTTGTCAAACATAGTGTGAAATAAGACCCGAAGTTCATTCATGAAAGAGATAGCCGACTTGTATTGGAGTGTCGTAAAAGGTTACTATCACTTTCATAAAGATCATGATAAAATAACACTTTTTCTATTACGGGTAGTAATGATTTTTTGACCTTATTTAAAAACTTAAGTTGATAATGCATACCTTAGCTGATAGCTTGACTTTGCAACCCAAGAAAGTTTTGTTGGCTTCCTCAAGTATCTGATCTCCATGTTCTAATAGCTTGTTAGAGTACCATGTTAAGAAAAACTTTCCCTTTTCTGTCTGGTAAGTCCTGTCTGGTCCGAAGAATCCTGTTTTCTCCGGCGTGTCATTATATGTTCCTGCATCATCCGGGAGGTCCCATTCAGGGTGCCCTGCCTTTGTTGCAGCCTCTTTAAAATCTTGTCTCAAATACTTGTCGTAGCACTGCAAGTATATTTGCTCGAGACGGGATAGATAAGTCGTTAAGTCTGATCAATAATTTGTATGATTCACAAGTTGGGCTATAAATTGAGCTCTAATCTCGAGAGTAATAATAAAATCAGACAAT